TGTAATGAGGACAGAAAGGTGAAGCACTTAGAGAAACAGTATGAGCCATATTATTATTTTTGCTCCTGCCTCTTTCTCTAGCTGCACCATTTGGTTAATTTAAAGTAGGTCACTCATTTACATCAGATGTTACCTGTGCTCCAGCTGCTCCGTTTAGAAAAGAATAATTTGCATTTTAAATAACTTGCAAAATGTTTGCTCTCTGCCTGTTCCTGGTGTGATTCACTTGCAACTGGTGAAGTCTCAAGTTGCAGTTTCTGTTGCATATTTGTCTTCGTTTTCTAGATCCCGACGCCAGTTGTGCTGAGAAGACGATCTTGTCTCCTCACACTCCATCAGCGATGGGTTGGCACCCCTATAGACACTTCATGCTGCCATTTATTCCACTAGCTCCTGACCTACCCCTCTCCATGCAGGATCTGTTAAGAGGCAGTATTTGTAGAGACCCTTCAAGCCAAGGGAAATATAATAGCCTTTCTAAAAGCAGCTTTGGCAGTGGCTCATAAAATACATCTGTTTGCTAATTTAGATCAGTACAGTGTGTATCTCGATGTGGTCCCCATGTTTGTGCTGCCTTTGCTTTCTTACCCCCACTCCTTCCCCTGGTGATTATCGTTTCTGCAAGTAGCAACTTCCTGGTATCACTTTGCAGCATCTCACTCCATCAGCTGCGGTCCAGTTTGTGAGGACAATCTATTTTCAGATTTTTCTTCATCTGAAAGCTGGCCTTCTAGGGTTGGTGGTAGAAGATTATTTAACTACCTCACCCGTCGACATGTCGAGCCTTTACCTTCCAACTCTTTCTTCTGGTAAGGAGTGGTAGAAGATTATTTAACTTCCCTCTCTGGGCTGCTACCTCACCCGTCGACATGTCGAGCCTTTACCTTCCAACTCTTTCTTCTGGTAAGGCCCTGGTTGGAATAAGGCGATCCTCATCCTGAGTTAGGGTGGCACGATCTAGGCTTTTGATTTAGACCCTGAAAAAGTGTAATATCAGCGAAGCTCGGAGTCTCCGTGGCAGGCATAGCTCCTGCATCGCTTCAGCATCGTGGTACTCCCCGCCTGACTACTGGCTCGTTTGCCAGAGCATCTCAAGGAGATTGGTGAAGGAAAACATATTCTCCTAAAATTTCAGAGCAGCACCAGAGCTACCTGAAGACAGCTGCTTGGATCACATGTCTTTAAGCATCCCTTTCCACATTTAGTGACTAGATTTAACCCACCTCTAAGGTGGAGCGAGTTAGCCAAGTCTTTTGATTTGCCCAGCAGAGATGGGGACTGCATTTGAAACAAAGACCCCCTTCAAAGAACTTCTCGAAAATCTACATTTGGTGGGGCTGAGGGCAGCTCTTGGCGTGAGGGGTGAGCCCCCGGGGGTGTAGTTTTGCGTGGGAGGTTGCTGTTTTGCGTGGGCTGCCTTTGTGCTGGGGATGTCAATCGCCACCGGTGTTTCTGTTCGTCACAGCCCTCCGGCACCAACCCCAGCTGCTGCGGTGCCCGTCCTTTATCTGCCTGTCCACGTAGACAGTTTTCGGTTTGCTGTCTTGTCAGTGTTGTGGTTTTTGCTGTACTACAGCCTTGCATTTTGTTCCGAAGCAAGCGAGGTTTGCGGCGAGGTACATCTTGGTGAAAAGGGAACTTTACTGCTCAGACCAGAAGTATAAAAAACCACCCATTTCTCCACTCTGGGATCGACAGTGTCGTATTGTTGCAGTTCCTCTCGAGGTCTTGCTCTTTAGCAAGAAGCAGAAGTTTCAGATAATTTGTTCCACTGCTCAGAAGCTCACCTTTCAGGTAGAGAGATGAGCTCCTCACACGTTTCCATTCCGTTCATGTCTCTCTGATGGCATAGGAAGAAAAAAAACCCTACCTGAGAATTCAGACAGCCATTCATCAGTACCTCAGGCTGTACCCCAGATGTTGGGTTGCAGCAGAGGGTGAAAGGCTGAACACAAATGACAGTCCTGCCTCAAAACTTGTACATCCCAGGATTATTTGGGGAATTTTTGGCTTGCAAACTGGTCCTTCGCAGGTTGATTTATTCAAAATGATAATGAGTAACAGCTATGACGCCATCTGCTGCTGACACCAGAAGAGGATGGGTGAAAAGATGGCTTAACATCCCCCAATTAAATGAAGATTTGGAGAAGCTTTCATGTAGTGATCAAAGCATTAGAGTGGCTGATGTTGGATGGGAAGAAAATTTATGATTTCTGGACTTGAGCTTTTCATTATTAGAGTGCTCCACTTTGCAAACTTAACAAATATCAGATTCTCTTCTTAATAGACAAACTTTCTGGTCAATGCAAAGAAAATGTTTTAGACAGCTGAAGGTATTTGAGAATCTAGAAAGAGTGAAACCCAAAATACTCTTACTCTAGAAATTGACTTGATTATCTGGGGGCATGGAATCTAGGGAAAAAGGTAAATTTTGCATGGGTAGGTTAAAGTTTGCCTGT